GCCTCCCAGCAAGACCACCTCAAGGCCGTCGTGAAGGACATTCACAACTCCATTGGTGAGAGTCACATGTTTTTAGCTATATGGCACTGGATGTAAAGAATAAGCCACCTTGACTCCCAGTTTGGGGGAAAGGTTGGGGTATAAATGTAACAAACACACAACCTGTTGCCCTTGGGAAGTGCTGGTTTATAACTCCCATCAGTTGGCAATGTTGACTGGGGATGATGAAAGTTATCTTCCATAGCATCTGAGGAGAGGCTTCAGTTGGGAAAGGCAAGGTCTCCTGTCTTCTGGACACCAGAGGGCAGCCCTGCTTCCTACATCTCCATCTTTCTCCTTTAGCTACACCTCTCTTTCATTTTTCTTGAAAAATCTTCTTGCAAAGTATTTATCAGATAAGAAGCATGCCAGGACCTCCACTCCACAATCATCTTCTATTTAGTACCCAATTTCACAGCATCTGTGGAAGGAAGGTGGAGGAAAAAACGGCCATGCACAACCCAACAAAGGTCTGTTTCACACAACACAATTGCAGCACTTTCATATCACTTTATAACTGCCATGGCTGCATCCCATGGAATCCTGGTATATGTAATTGGGGAGCCATTAGAGCTCTCTAGTTAAGAATTCTAAACACGCCCTAAACTGCAAATCCCAGGACTCCACAGGATGGGACCATGGCAGTTAAAGTGGAACCAAAGTGCTAGAATTGTGTTGTGTGAAAAAGACCTAAGAAACTGCTTTATTTCCTAGAATGTAAGAGCTGGAAAAGATCCCTAGATAGATGATCTATGTTGTAAGCCCCCCCCCCGGTTGCATTATGCAGAGAGGCGGGATGATGATGATGATGATGATGATGATTCCAAACACAAATCCAATTTCATCATCATCATAATCATCATCATCTAATTTAACACCATGACAATGCAGGAATCCTCAGCTAAAGCAGCCCTGGCAGTTGACCATCCCACCATTGTTCAAAAACCTCCACAAACTTTTGACTGAAGTTTGACCCCAATATTGATTTCCTTACCTTTTCTTTCTTCCCCCAAACTGGGGAGGCAAAATGGCTCTTGGCATCTTTCTCAAGCCTTAAATCATTTGTATTCCCCAGATAGGCTGTTGTCTCTGACGCTGCTGGCTTTTGAAGGCCTCAACACAGCCGCCGCCAAGGACCAGTGCGTAGCACACCTGGAGGAAGCTTTCTTTGCTCCACTTTGGGCTCCACTCCTGGCTGTGTACAGGTGAGGGTGTCTTGTTCTGTGCCTCTACATTTCAGATTTTGGCCTCAAAATCTCAGGGGCTGGGATAGTCCTGTCCTGGCAACCCTGCAGAGGGATAATCTGGCCCTAGATCTCCTCATAAGGACAGGCAGGGACTGGTGATGGATGGATGATGCTTACTCACCAGTCGGTGAATGCTGACTTGGCCCCACTTTTTGTACATTTAAGGGTGAACCCAGAAACTGTTTGCTGGTGAATTAAAATCACAAAATCATAGAGTTGGAAGAGACTCCAAGGGCCATCTTGTCCAACCCCATGCTCTCTTGCAGGAAGACACAATCCCTTCTCATGACTACAGCAGTCTTGAAAGACACTCATCCAACCTCTGCTTAAAGATTTCCAATGAAAGAGAGTCTCATGGAATTAGAGATTGAGAGGGACCCCAAGGGCTACCTAGTTCAACCCCCTTCTGCCATGCAGGGAGACACAATCAAAGCCCTCCCTGAGGCAGATGGTCATCCAGCCTCTGCTTAAAAAGCTCCAAAGAAGGAGACTCCACCACTCTCCAAGGCAGCATCTTTAACAGCTCTTATGGTTAGGAAGTTCTTCCTAATGTTAAGTGGAATCTCCTGTAGTATGTATATATGTGGGTGGATGGGGCGGGGCTGGGGTTTGGTGACCTGTAGGCCTCATGTGGCTTGAGGGCCACCCTGGACTCCACCACTGGAAAGACAGAGGTAACCCACTCCCAAATGAAAGGGAAGACAGACTTGCTGTTGAGAAGGGGAAAGAAATTGGTGGCCACGCTCCTGATTACCATGGCCTTAACATGAGCCTCATTTTGGAAGAAAGGCATTAACGAACTATCTAGCTAATGAACATTTCCCTGGTATAGCTGAGCCCATGGAGCTCTGGAATGCAAAATTTCCACTCCTGCTGCTACATTTTCCAAATTCTTTAGTCTTTCCCCCCTCCTTGACCCTCTTTGTTTTTGCCCCATGGTGCATTTAGGAACGTCTACAAAACTCGGGAAGCAGCTCTTTCCAGGAGCATGGAGCTACACAGGAACATCCCCCCTTCGGATTTTGGCATCTCCTCCAAACTCCTGCCCCAGAGCAACTCGGCCAAGAGACCCGGCTCCTACCCTTACTGCACCGCTGTCCAGGAGCTGATGCTCATTCCTCTTGGCAGCTGCCCGCAGAAGAAACTGGAGTGCATTGGTGAGATGGAGGGCAGGTTGGGGGCCTTGGGGTGAGAAGGATGCAGTGCCACTAGCCATCTTGCAGCAACTCTTTGGAGCAAGAGCATTGCGCCACTGGAGGGGGGCTAGGGGCCACCGTTTACCAGTGGGCAGGGCCAATGGCAAAAGGAGCCAAAGTATGAGCCTTATTTGGCTGAAAGGTCTTATTGCTTATAAGGAGAGGGATTTGAAACTTCTGCAATGAGGGGTGTATGCAGAAAAGTTTGGAAACTGTCACGGGGAAGGAATTGTGGCTATTGGAATCAGGGCTATGGACTGAGTACATCAGACCTCTTGTTCTGCTCTTTGGGTCTTCATCCATGGCAAATTTATATTATTGTCATCTCTCCACATCCACTGATCCTGCATCCATGGATTCAGCTATCACAGCTTGAAAATATTTTTTAAAATATAAATTCCAAAAAGCAAACCTTGATTTTGTTATTTTATATAGGAGAGACCATTTTATTATGCCATTGTATTTAATGAGATGTGAGCATACACGAAGTCTGGTATCCACAGGGGATCCTGCAACCAAATCCCAGCAGACATCAAGGGCCTACTGTAATTAGTAGTCAGCCCTCCATATCCACACTATTCTACTGACTCCACTCAAAATTGCTTCTGAATCTAACTCCACAACCTTGATTTGAAGAAATTCACAGGAGTCCCATTTATAGAGGGCAGTGAGCTGGCTTCAGTCCCAGGTCCTAAGTTTCCCTATTCCTGTCTCCCGGAAAGTGAAATTATTATTTTTTACATCCATACTCCCTTTGTGTATGTTATTCATCCATTCTCCCCGCTTTTTCTGCCCTTCAGTGCGGACCTTGCGTGTTATCTGTGAGTGTGCAGAGGAATATTGTGGGAGCTGCGAGGGCAGGTCCCAGCCAGCAGCAGCAGCCATGTGAGTAGCATAACTCAAGGCCTGGCAAATGGTGGATGCTTTAGCTGTAGATTCCTGCACTGACAGAGTGTGGGAGTAGATGGCCTTTGGGTTCCTTCCACCCTATCTTTGATTCTCCCATTCCCAGGCATTTGGGCATTTTTAATCTGGCACAGAGAAGATGGAGAGGAAGTGTGATAATCCTCTCCATACATCAAGGGAAGAGAAGCAAGCTTGTTTTCTCTTGCTCCAGTGGGTAGGCCCTGAACTGTTCAAAATGGGTTCAAAATGGCAAGAAAAAGATTCTGATTAATTATTAGGAAGAACTTCCTGATGGTAAGAACAGTCTGACAGTAGAATGGACTCCCTTGTAATGGGGTGGACTCTCCTTCTGTGGAGGTTTTTAAACAGACCTTATGTCAAGGATGCTTCCACTGTGTAGTCGTGCATAGCAGGAGGTTAGAATGGAGTCCCATCATGCTTTTTTCTCTTCTCTTCCCCTTCCTCTTTTTCATTCTTTTTCTCTCCTCTCTCCTGTGATAACATAAGCCTATTAGGACACACACAGGAAGGCAAAGGTTGCTGTCCCATTAGCTTCTAGTACTTAGCCAACCATCTTTGAAGTTTTCAAACAGAGATGAGATGACCTTTGTTGGTGGATTTCCTGCATAGGGAAAGAGTTGGACCAGCTGGCCCTTGGGATGTCTTCCAACTCTGTAATTCTTTAAGCTGAGAATAGAGAGACTGGGTGTGTATGTATATCATTTTTTCCTTTTCCGCAAAGGCCATCTTCTCCCTCTGTGACAAGACAAACCCACAGAAGTCCCACATGGGGCCATTGGATCATGTTCACTGGCTCCAGGCCCTCTGACGCACAAACACACAATTGGTAAAAGAGGGGAGGTGTACCGGCATTGATGGGATCCCTTGTGACAGCGAGGGGACCCCCTGCCAGGCTGGGCCAGAGCGCCGGCTCGTTGTATCTGGGGGTCTTGCCCGTTGAAGCGCTAGGGATCTGTCACAGAGACTTAACCAGTCGGTAGCAGAAAGGGTTTGCGGAGGAAGGAGAGATCAGAGACAGTGCCCCTGCCAGCCAGCAGGAAGTGGGGGGCTGTCAAAGGAATTAGGCTGATAGAGGCAAGACAGGAATGTCACTGCAGGGCTGGAGCCTGTGGTAAGGCAAGGCGGCAGTGCCCTGAATTTGGAAACGCAAAGCTCCTGCCCATGAATGGCTGAGGGATTTGGGTGCAGAGGGAGATTGGGCAAGTGGCATTCCCCTTCTGGAGTGTTCCAGAGTGTTTCTCTTCATCTCCTTCTGCACGCCAAGGCCATTTCCTCCCT